TGCATCTCACACCCCCCACTGGGGATCTGGCCCACAACCCTGGCGTGTGCCCTGACTGGGAATTGAACCAGTGACCCTTTGGTTCACAGGTCAGCACTCAATCCACTGAGCCACACCAGCCAGGCAAAGGTCACATTTTTTTCAGAGTTGCCACAATTGTGTATATAAAACCTCAAAACTATATGTGGGTAACCATAGAGAAATGGTTATTAACAGCTTCTTAGGATTATTTCTTTCTAGTTTAATACAAAGTGGAAACTTTGTTACCTTAAACTACATGCTTTTCACATTAAAACGTTTTCTTGGGTCATGAGTCTTACCAGGAGCTTCTTCCTTGTCCCAGGACAGGAAAGCAGCTCTTCTGAGAATCCCTACCCCACCGGCAGGTTGTCCTGGGTAACCTACAGATGAAGGAAACAGAGTAAAGTGTTTACAAAATGAGATTTGGCAATGACTTCTTCAATATCACAGCAAAAGCACAAGCAATGCAAGGAAAAGTTTAGAAATTGGACTTCAGTAAAATTTAAATGTGCATCAAAGGATGGCATCAAGAGGGTGAAATGACATCTCCCAGACTGAACATACTAGTAAAGTCTATAGTTGATAAGGTTTTATTATTCAGAATACCTAAATAACCCTTTCATCTCAACAAAAGTGCAAACAACCCAGTTAAAAAACTGGGCAAAGGACTTGAATAGATATTTCTCCAAAGATGAAATACAAGTGGCAATAAACACATGAGAAGATTCTCACCACTAATCGGCAGGGAAAGGCACATTAAACCCGCAAGGTGATGCTCTTCTACCCATTAAGATGGCTAGAAAAAAACAGTAAAAAAGATGTGGAGAAACAGAAACCCTTGCCCACTTCCAGTGGGAATGTGAAATGGTGCTGTGGGAACGAGCCAGTGGTTCCTCCTAAAGTTAAACATAGAATTGCCAGAGGTGCTCGCTTTGGCAGCACATATACTAAAATTGGAACGATACAGAGAAGATTAGCATGGCTCCTGCACAAGGATGACATGCAAATTCGTGAAGCGTTCCATATTTTTAAGGACTTGAACAAACACTTCTCCAAGGAGGACATACAGAATATCCAGAGACACATGAAGAGATGCTCAATATCGTTAGCTATCAGAGGGATGCAAATTAAAACCACAATGAGATACCACTTTACACCAGTCAGGATGGCTATCATAAACAAAGCAACAAACAACAAATGTTGGAGAGGTTGTGGGGAAAAGGGGTCCTTAGTTCACTGTTGGTGGGATTGCAGACTGGTACAACCATTATGGAAAACAGTATGGAATTTTCTCAGAAAAATAAAAATCGACCTGCCTTTTGACCCAGCAATTCCACTGCTAGGATTATATCCTAAGAATCCTAAAACATCAATATCAAAGAACCTATGCACCACAATGTTCATAGCAGCACAATTTACAATAGCCAAGAGTTGGAAGCAACCTAGGTGCCCATCAGTAAATGAATGGATCAAAAAATTGTGGTACATATACACAATGGAATTCTATGCTGCAGAGAGAAAGAAGGAGCTGCTACCTTTTGCAACAACATGGATGGAACTGGAAAGCATTATGCTGAGTGAAATAGGCCAGGTGCTGAAAGACAAATACCATATGATCTCACCTTTAACAGGAAGCTAAACAACAAAACAAACAAGCAAGCAGAAAAAAAAAAACAAAGACACTGAAATAGAGAACAAGGGGACAGTGACCAGAGGGGAGAAGGAAGGGAAGTTAAGGGGAAAAAGGGGGAGGGATTTGGAGGAACAAATAGGAAGGACACAGGGATGAGAACTAAGGGGGGTGGAAATGGGAGGGAGGTGGGGAGCAAGGGGCGGGGGAGGCTGGGATGGGAAAAATAGACAAAAAACTGTACTTGAAAAATAACTAAATAAAATTAATTTAAAAATAAAATAAAATAAAAAGAAAAAAAAAAGAATGACAGAGGACTCTGCTGTTTCCCTCCCACCTGTATTGAAACAGATGCTCAAATAGGTCATGTGAATGTGCTTTGTAACACTATTCAAAATAGCCAAAAAGTGGACATGTCCATCAATGGGATGAATGTTCCCGAACAGCTAATTTGTCCACCTGGCACTAGCAGAGCCAAACACTGAACACCACAAGAATTGCAGGGGGGAAAGACTGGCTGTTTTTATTATGAAAGGTGCCACCCAGAACACAAAGCTCATGCTCAAAGGCCTTAAGTCCTTGAATTTTCACAGAGAAGGGGTTTTATAGCGCCAAATCACCAGTCATAATAAGTGAGGGGTTTGGGGTCCTGGGTCTTGTTGATTGGCTGAGTGAGGCAAGGACAGTACATCATCATTTTAGATCTTCAGGTCAACATCAGTGTCCCTCAGTCTGGTTTAATGGGAACTTGGCCAGCGGTCATTCGGCTCAGGAGCTGAAACACAATTTAGGCCATGACTTTATCTTTGACTTAACAGAAACCCAAACTTTATGACGTTTAGTGAAGGCATGGCCGTTGTTTCTGGCTGCCTTAGGAGGTTAATGAGTAGTAAGGGCAAGGGCTAAGGCTTATAGGGCATGCTGGGAAGAAAGTGAATAGAGAGGGCTGGGGCTATCTATTAAATCAAAATTATACATTAAATCAAGACCCTTGGTTTCAGTAAGCGGTTTGCTTTGTGTGCTGAAAAACATCTCAACACATGTTACTCAGTTATCTTGATGTGCAGGGTTAAGAAGCTATACACCTTGTGACTTTTACTCATTGTATGCTATTATTATTTATGTTGTCTTGACTATTTACTTTTAAATATTTTATTTATTTTTAGAGAGGGGGGGAAGGGAGGGAGAAAGGGAGGGAGGGAAACATCAATGTGAGAGAGAAACACTGATCAGTTGCTTAATGTATATGCCCAGGGACCCAACCTGCAACCAAGTCATGGGCCCTGTCCAGGGATCGAACTGGTGAACCAGTTGTCAGGGCTTATTCATACTTTTAAGTATAAAACTCGGTGGCTTTTTTCCTCTTTTAATACTTACCTGAGGATATATTTATTAATTTTAAAGAAGAAGGAAGAGGGGGAGAGAGGGAGAGAAAGGGAGAGAGAGAGAGAGACATTGGTCGGTTGCCACCCCCCCTCCCCCGCTCCCCTAACGAACCCTAACTGGGGATGGAACCCACAACCTAGGAATGTGTCCTGAGCTCGAATCAAGCCCGCAGCTTTTTGGCGTACAGGAGTATTCTCTAATCAACTGAGCCACATGGCTAGGGCAACTCAGTGGCTTTTTGTATATTCACAAAGCTGAGCAACACCACTACACTATCTGAATAAGGAAATTTAAACAACATCGACTAGGTGTTTCACCACCAAAAACGATTTATTCTGGAAAAAAAATTTGCAATGCAGTGCACAGACATAGCAGGCCACATGCAGGCCACACTGAACTCTGTGCTACGTTAGAGAGGTATTTATAGAGGAGAAAAAGGAAGCTAAAGGGCAGTTACAACCATAGATAGAGCTTCATTTTAAGCAGAGTTCTCTTTGCAGTTTTGGCTGTGCCATTGTGTGTGAGAACGTGTGAGACCTCCTCCCCTGTGCCGTCTCCTGGATGATCCCCTCCACGGATCCTCCCAACTGATCATGTTCACTTAAAGTCTGTCAGTCTTGCGCTGGCTGGTGTGGCTCAGTTGGTTGGATTGCCTTTTTGTAAACTTAAAGGTGGTGGGTTTGATTTCCTCAGGGCACATACCTGGGTTGTGCCGGTCCAGGTGCGCAGGAAAGGCAGCCAGTCAATGATTCTCATGATTCTCTCTTGCACGGATATTTCTCTCCCTTCCTCCATAGAAGTAGTGAAAGAATGTAAAAAATAAAGTCTGCTGATCATCCAAATACTATCCTTTACATTTCAAAATTCACGGGGACTAAAATCCTGATCGGACCAAATTTCCTTTGCAGTGTAGAATGCACACCGGAGAATTCCAACATTGCACACCTGTGGTTGTACTGCGACTAGGCCTGTAAGTCAGCTGGGTCCATAGGTGTCCACTGTCAGTGGAGATAAAGTACCTGGAGCTACGGGTTGCTGACCTCAGCCCCTTGTAGGGACAGGGCCTCCCGGTGTCAAAGGTTACAAGCAAAAGCCTATCTTGCCCACGGTCCCATCTAAACAAAGGGGACAAATTTGGCCTCGTCGCTATGGCGATCATTGACCCTGGAGATCACAAGGCCTTCAGTCGGGACCTGCCCCTGCTCCTGACAAGAAAACAGGCACGAGGAAACTGAGTCCGGTCCAGGAGGACAAGGTGGTGCCCCTAAGCTGCGGACGGACGAGGGGTCCGCCTGGGTAGGAGCGGGTTCGGCTCACAGACCCTGTCGAGCGCCGAAGGACGCAGCTCTGCAAAGGAAGGCCTGAGGCCCACAACCCATATTTCTGCTGAGTTTAGCCACGTGATCCCGCCTCCGCCCATTACAGTGACTCTGTCCAATGAGGGAAGGTGGAGGCGTGGCCTAGAGAGAAGATTGGGAATATAGAGGCGTGGCCGAAGAACTGCCAAAACTAGGCTAGGGAAGAAGGTTTCTCAAACACTGTCCAATCGTGGCCTGGTGGCGTGATAGTAGTTATATCCAATCAGTATCCTTAAAAAGGAACAGCTTGGAGTTCCGTCCAGTCAAGTCCCGGGTGCCTGCAGCATTGTCCAATCTGTGGGGGGCGGGGGTACTGGGCATTCATCGCCGTTAGAGGCTGGCGCTTTGGCACCCGTCGTTGACATCTCTCTCCGCCGGCGGAGGCGCTCTTGCGTTTCTGTCCGGAGCGATCCTGGGTGTCCTGTCTCTCGCACCTTCCGGGGCTGCGGAGCTGCGGGGAAGACGACGACCCGAGAACTAGCCGCGCGGGGGCGAGATGGTGAGGGCGAGGAGCGGGCCAAGACCAGGCTGGGTTGGTTCGCAGAGGTCGGATCCGCCTGGAAAAGGCGCGTGGTCCGTGTCTCCGCGCCCCCCTTCCCTCCCGACCTGAGTTTCCTTTCTCGGTTTCGGGGTGGGTCCGAGGAAGGACCAGAGGACCACCATCGCTAGTGGTCAGGGGCTGAGGGCGGGGTGGACGAGGAGTGGGAGGAATTGATCTGACTCTGACAGATACCATCAAATCCGGACTTGCTTCAAAGACTGCTGTTGTAGGGACAAGGCTTGGGTCTCAGAGCTGTGCCCGCGTCACAAATCAGAAGCGGGCTTTTCTGTGGCAGGAGGATGAGCAGAAGGAGGTGTGACAGCCGCCGTCTCTCTGGTCAGCGAATTCTCAGCTCAGGTCAGCGGGGCCTTGTCCATTTCTCAGTGCTTGTTCCGGTGGGGACAATGGCTGGACTTGTCGGGAGGACAGAAGTCTAGTAAATCTTGGATGGGAAATTGTGATCATCTGGTCAAGCCTGTGAGATTTCAAAAATCTAAGCTTTGTAAGGAGAGATTTTCGTTCAAAAGAATTACCTCTCCGGATGGGGAGAAGGGCACGGGCACCGGGACTGAGCAGTAGGGGGCGCTCTCAGACCATGCCATCTTCAAGTATCACGAGAGTTAGACTTCATGAGTTTTGCTTTTATCGAGGGGAGTCGACAAAAGGTGGAAGGACCAGGTATGGTTGGGATGGCAGATCATCATCCCAGTTTGTTTTCAGGAGGGAATGTTTGTGGGCTAAGAAAGCTGAGGACAGACCTACGTCCAGGGCCTGGGTTTAGGAGAGAAGGCGAACTAAAGTCTGGCCAACAAGCATTTGTTCTGTGTGGACGAACAGTACAGCCAATTTAGGACTCAGAGAATTGGGATGTGGGATGTTTGCCTCTGGCTTTGTCATAGGTAAACATAGGAGACATCTGAGTCTTATCAAGTCAATGATTCTTGCAGCGTGCCCTTTTCTAGAACAAATGGTTGCAGTGGTTCCTTTCACCTTCCAGGCATGTTTCCAGGAGAACAGGATCAGGGAGGATTCAGCATTGTCACCTGACACCTATGAGCAGCCTCCTCTGTGTCCAGTTCAGCACCAAGAGCTTTCCCTTATTGCAGCCTCAGGTTTCAGCAGATGTGAAATGATCGAATCCCTTTTGCCTTGTTTCTTCATGTTTGTGAAGGTAGTTGTGTCTCAGGTCTTTTGTCCTGCCAACTCATGTTATTCCAGCACTTAACTAGAGATGTCTCTGGGGAAGAATATCTCAAATACAGAAAATGGCCTCTTTTATTAGAATTGCGGAGAAAGTGCACACAGTTTCAGACCTTCATGCAAGGTCAGCGGAGATATAGATTTAAAAGATTCATAAAAATCGTAGTGACCCTTCCATTCATGGTGCAGTTTGTGAGACCCAGTGTGATCATATTCCACTTCCTGTGAATAGCTGATGTCAAAGATTAATGCAAATTTCGTGAATTGTGACCTATGATGGTTGGTTTCACATCATCCACAGAGGTCCTGGAGTTAAGTGTAATTTGTGCAAACTGGGTAAGACTGAAGATCGGCCTTAGAGAGTGAACCTTTGGATTTTACGGCTGGAGGGAAGCTGATGAATTTGAGTTAATTTGGGTCAGATCTTATGCTTACCTCCTTGGTGAGAGTTGAGGCCTTAGAGGGGGACATTGTTCCCACACTCAGGAGGGAAAGCTGGATGTGTGGGGATCCAGAGTTAGGTTTTTCAGGGGGCTCAGGGTCCCCTTACTCCTTCCTTGGGTGGGTCCACCCTGGACTACTTGTCAGCAGGGTGAGTCTGGCCCCCAGCTCAGAAAGTCCTTGACCTTCTGACTTGGGTTCCCTTTTGTGCTGTGGGATGGAGGCTGGAAATCTGAGCTGGCTCACACTGGGCCACTCTTCCCTTTTTTTTTCCTGAAAAGGATAGAAATTTCTATTAAGGTGACTTTGGGATCACCATTTTCACTCTGTATTGAAAGGAAACCAGGGAACTTCCAGAAACTTTAATCTGCTCTAGAAATACAACCCAGGGCTTCCAGTTCCATCTCTGGGTCCTTGTTGCCACTCACCCAGTCCTTGACAATTTGCGACTGAGGCAGGCGGGGCATCCAGGCATCTGGGGAGAAGGAGACTCACTAAGTGGTATCTTTTAATGTGCCAATTTCTTCCTGTCTCTATACATGGGACTGAAATTGTTTTTTGAAAAAATAAAATTTTAATTACAGTTTATATATATTTTTTTGTATTACTTTTGTATTATTTTCACCATAGTAGTTAGACAATCATAGTTTACAAACTGTTCCCCTAATATTTCTACTACCCACCTGGCACCATACATAGTTATTACAATATTATTGACTGTGTACCTTATGCTGCTCTATATATCCCACAATTTCATTCCCTCCACCTTTTTCCCTCAATCCCTGTCCCCTCTCCTCTGGCAAACATCAGTCTGTTCTTTGTATTTATGAGTCTGTTTCTGTTTTGTTTGTTCATTTATATTGTTCTTTAGACTCCAAATGTAAGTGAATTCATGTGGTATTTGTCTTTCTCTTACTGACTTATTCACTTAGCATAATATCCTCTAGGTCCATCTATGCTGTTGCACATGGTAAGATTTTATTCTTTTTTATGGTTGAGTAATATTCTGTTTTATATATATATATGTACTATAGCTTTTTTATCCACTCCTATTGATGGGTCCTTGAGTTACTTGCATAGCTTGGCTATTGTAAATAATGCTGCAGTGAACAGAGGGGTACATCAGTATTTGTTTTTAAGGCCTTTCAGTGTTTGCTTTTAGAGCCTTACAGCTGATTGGATGAGGCCCACGCACATTGTCCAGAGTCTGAACTTAGTCCCCTGAACTTAGTTAGAGTCAACTGATTGGAGACGTTAACTGCATCTACAAAATACTTTCACAGCAGCTCTGTGATTAGTGTTTAATTGAACTGGGTACAATAACTCGGCCATGTCGATGCATAAAACTAACCATCACATTTTCTCTGGGTTGAGAGCTGAAGATCTGCTGAGGTTTCTAGAAGCAGAGGCCTCTTTTCCAGTAGGATTTTGTTCTTTTTTAATGGTTGAGTAATATTCCATTGTGTGTGTGTGTGTGTGTGTGTGTGTGTGTATTGCAGCTTTTTTATTCACTAGTCTAGTGACTGGCACTTGCCTTGCATCCATAGCTTAGCTATTGTAAATCGCACTGCGGTGAACACAGGGGTGCATATATTCTCTTGAATGTGTGTTTTGGGTTCCTTTGGATATATCCCCAGAAGTGGAATTAATGGGCTCTAAGGCATTTCATTTTTAAGTTTCAAGGAACTTTCACGCTTTTTTCCACCTTGGCTGCACCAGTCTGCATTCTCACCAACAGTGTACAGAGGTTCCCCTTCTCTGCACATCCTCACCAGCGCTTGTTTCTTATGGATTTACTGATGACGGCCTTTCTGACAGGGGTGAGGTGACATCTCCTTGTGGTTTTAATTTGCATTTATCTGATGACATTGGGCGTCTTTTCATGTCTGTTGGTCATCTGTATGTCCTCTTGTGGAGAACTGTCTATTTAGATCCTTTGCCCATTTTTAAATTGGATTATTTGCTCTTTTTGGTGTTAAGTTATGTGAGTTCTCTATAAACTTTGGATATTAACCCCTTATCAGATGTATTATTGGTGATGAAATTAATTTTCGAATGTTATACTTTAACCAGCACCCCTGCTATGATGAGTTATAAATTTAATGATTTGTCTGTAGGGTGGGGGGATTTCTAAGTACTAAACCTTATTATCTAATATTAGTCAAATTTAGTGTTTTCACTTTGTAAATCTTTTCCCACTCTCTTGTTTATGTGGCCACGCTGACTTGGCCTTCACAGGTGCGCAACTGTGTATACGCCCATCCTTTCCTTCTTGTTCCAGATGTCAGAGGGAACAGTTGTAACGTCACGTGGGATGTTGGCTCTGGGCTTTGTGTAGACGCCTTTTCTTTCTGACTGAGTGTGTTCCCTTCTTGTCTTTAAGTTGTGTTGTCATCCATGAGCAGTGTGACATGAGGCCAGCATGTCCTCAGCCTCTATGAACTGGAAGCCTATAGTTTGTGTGTCTTTTTTTTTCCCCGTTTTTTTTTCTATCAATGAGATAAATTATAATTATCAAACAATTCATATTTAGTCCATCTTGCCTTTCTGGAATAAAATGAACTTGGTTTTGAGTTATGCTTTTTATACATTTACATATTAGATGCCTTTTTTTTTTTTTAAATAAGCCCTGTTTTCCACCACAGGCTTTTGCTTTTTTTTTTTTTTTAATTTTATTTATTTATCTTTACAGGGGAAGGGGGGAAGGAGAGAGGGAGAGAAACATCAATGTATGGTTGCCTTCGTGCGTCCCCTGCTGGGAACTGGCCTGCAGGGAACCTGCCTGCAACCCAGGCATGTGCCCTGACTGGGAATTGAACCGCGATTATCTGGCTCGCAGGCCCGCGCTCAATCCACTGAGCTACACCAGCCAGGTCTAGATGCCTTTTTAAAAGCCTTTTGCCTTTATAGTTGTGAACGTTGGTGCCTTTGAATATGTTTTGAATTGTTCCTTTCTGGCCTTGGTAATACTCTTTTTTTTTTTCTACAATTCAGAATCACTGATTTTTAATATTTGATACCTGGCTTAGGAACCATTTGAGAATCACATTTGGTGTGTGGGGACGGTGAGATCAGCTGGTTTTTCTTTAATGACCATGGATGTTTTCAGATGTTCTCTTTTTTGCATCATTTCCAAAAATTTCCTAATTTTTGGAAATTAGGTGTGTTTCCTAATTTCCAAATTTCTGTTTTCTAATTTCTCACTTATCCCATTACATCTGATATAAAAAAAACCTCTTCCCACAAGTGGTTTGTAAAATCTCCTCAAGGTGCTTAATCTCTGAAACATCTGAAATTTTGCTCCACTTCCGTACTTCATTTGCTCAAGTTCTGTTGTATTTAAATTAAAATGCCATTAAGTTTAGATGGGTATACAGTGTGGAGCCCAAATAGGGTTACAGTTGTCCTTATGGAAAATAAGAAATTAATATATAATGATACAAGAATAATCCCTGTGTTTTGTGTACTCACAACTGTAAACCTACTTTTGCCCCATCCAGTATTTTTAGTTTGTCTGACTTTTTTTAACAACAGCTGTATATGAGATATGGTTTATATACTGTAAAGCCTACCTGTTTAAAGTATAAAAGTCAGTGGTATCTGGTGTATGTACAGAATCATGCAACTGCCCCCATAATAGACTTTTTTTCACTCCTAAAAGAAAACTTGTGTCTCCTGGCTGTCACCCTCAGTCACGTGCCCCACACCCAAAGCCTGGTTGCTGGCGGTTGATTCAGCCACTTTCTGACTCTGCAGATTTGCTTCTTCTGTACATTTCATATAGATCAGCAGTCCCCAACCTTTTTGGCACGAGGGACCATTTCCGTGGAAAACAGTTTTTCCACAGACCAGGGGTGGGGGGTTGGTTCGGGATGATTTAAGTGCATTACAGTCAAGCTTACCTCCTTCTGTGTGGCCTGGTTTCTGATAGGCCCGGACCAGTACTGGTCCGAGGCCCAGAGGTTGGGGACCCCTGATGTAAGTGATTTTTTTAAAAAATATTTTATTATTTATTTATCTTTAGAGGGGAAGGGGGGGAAGGAGAGAGGGAGAGAAACATCAATGTATGGTTGCCTTTTTTGTGCGTCCCCTGCTGGGAACTGGCCTGCAGGGAACCAGCCTGCAACCCAGGCATGTGCCCTGACTGGGAATCGAACCGCGATTGTCTGGTTCGCAGGCCCGCGCTCAATCCACTGAGCTACACCAGCCAGGGTAAGTGATTTAATACCATGTGTGTTCTTCGTGAAGCCTGGTAGTGTGTTTAAGGTTTATTGATTTTGTGCTATGGATCATCTATACTTTACTTCTTTATTGCCAGTGATGTTCCATTGCATGAATAGTCTACATTTTGCTTTCCATTTCAGTTCATGGATTTTTGAGTTGTTTCCGCTTTGGAGCTATTTTGAATCATTCTACTGTAAATATGTATATACAGTCATATGCCACTTAGTGATGGATACATTCTGAGAAATGCATCCATAGGTGATTTTGTCTGTGTGCGAACATCACAGAGTGCACTTACACCAACCTAGATGGTGTAGCCTGCTGCACACCCAGGCCATAGGCCTGACATCATGTTACCGTACAAAACAATGTGAGATTTAACTAAGCACACAAAAAATGCTGCAATAAAGAGACATGGTAAGCCTGAGATGTAGGAGGCTGTTGCACAGTAACACAGCACCCTGCTTTTACAGCTTCTTATGTAAGTAGAAAAAGTACAGTCTAGCCCTGGCTGGTGTAGCTTGATGGCTTGAGCACGGGCTGTAAACCAAAGAGTCACTGGTTCAGTTCCCAGTCAGAGCACATGCCTGGGTTGCAGGCCAGGTCCCCAGTGGGGGCCATGTGAGAGGTTTTGTTTCTCTCCCTCTCCTTTTCCTTCCCTTTCCCTCTTTCTCAAAACTAAAATAAATAAAACCTTAAAAAAAGATTCTTAAAAAAAGTATAGTCTAACATAACAAAAAGTATACTTGTTAGGCAACGTGTTTCCCATTACTTAACGTAGCCAGTGCAGTCTCATGAAGCTAGCTGAGCATTAATTCATCTCTGGATGAGTGGATCCCTGTCATCTAAAAGGAATGTTCCTACATAGAGAAGTGGGCCTGTTAAGTTGTTTACCGCTTTGCATTATACAGTGTAACAAGCATGTGCCACCTGGCTGCCAGTCACGTGTGTTAGCATTTGCCTTTTCACTCTACAAATCACACCCACGTCCCCCTTTTGCCACAGAGACATGCCGGCCCTGCTGCCAAAGACTCTGCTTCTGTCCGTAAGTTTCCTTTACAAACTCGGTTTAATGCTGGCGTTGTCAGCCTCTGTCCTTGGTCTCTTGGCACTGTGGGAATACATAAATGACATGGTCCTTTGTTCTTGTTGTCAAGTGATACATAAATCATTGTAGGTGCTGTACGTGTACGTGACTGGTGGCCCAGTAGGGTTGTTTATAGCAGCATCACTGCAGGCATTGAATTTTTAAAAATAATAGTTTGTTCTTTACTGGTATGATGTCATCCAATGTTGCTCTAAACTGTGCGTATGGTAGTTTTTTCTCTCTATTAAAGTTGCCTTTGGCTTATTACCATTAGGTCTCTCTGGGATTCTTCTTTGCGGGACCATTTTTCTCAAATTCGGGCACTCAGTGGTTTATTTGAGAGGCCCTGCTGGCTTGAAAATTCCTTCAGGGACCAGGTTCTCCTCTCACCCAGCAGGTGCGCCAGTCCCCGGCCCTGGCCTGTACCTATGCCCACAGGGTCCGCCTCATGCTGGGAGGGGTTGGGTCTCTGTCTCTGTCTGATGTGAGGGGACTAGACCAGGCTTCTCAGCACTCTCAAATTCCAAAGTGAGAGCCGTTTAGATCAAGCAGCACTGGAAATCTGTGTTGGTGAATTTCTGACATTTGGGAGTTATTGACAAAGAAAGAACTTTTGAGCAAGCCAAGTATTTGGTTCCACATTATCTGAATGATGATTTCATTTTTAGTCTTTAACATACTCAGAATCTGCTTTATCTCATTAAAAATCACTTTTTTAAAATTAAATGTGAGTAAGTTTATATCACTTGTTCTTGCACTTGGATTTTAAGTTCCAAGCTCTTACCACTGTTGAGTGTCCTGCGTTTGGTTTGCTTGCTCACTGTCATTTCCCAAAAGAGCATGAGCTCGGCACTTCTAGAAATTGAGTTTCATTCTTTGTTGGCCTCCCCCATACTCCCCCACGTGCTGGTAAAGTGGTGCCTTGTTGAAACAGAATATGTGGGATGTTTCAGGACACTGTGGTCTTTGCGGATGTGGCTGTGAACTTCACTCAGGAGGAGTGGGCTTTGCTGGATGGTGCTCAGAGGAAGCTCTACAGAGAAGTGATGCTGGAGACCTTCAGGAACTTGGCCACCGTGGGTAAGGATGGCTTCATCCCTCACTGCCTTTTATAGAAAAAGCATTTCTTACAGTTGTCCTTATTTATTGGATCCAAGGAAGGGCAAGATGTCAAAAAAACCAAACCAAACCAGAAACCCTGGATGCAATCCAAGCCTTCATGGAACCCATCTAGAGTCTGTGTTTTTCATGATAACACAGTTTTATGTATTAAGTTGACTTTTTATTTCTTTTAAATAAAAGACTGAGGTTCCCTGGGTTTTTATAAGTGTGAGCATGGATTTCCGGTTTGCTCTAGGGCAGTGAGAACAGCTTACAGTTTTCACCCCTGAGACAGTTCCGCAGTAATTAATATAAATTCAGCATGGTCACGCTACAGTGCAATCCACACTACACATCGTCACTGGCCATGGAGCCCAACTCTGGGTCCTTCTCACAGGTTATTTGTTGCCTTCCATCCTCCATCCTGCGGACCTTTTCTCGGAGCACAGGGCATCGGCCAGACACACCACCTGTTTTCTAATGGCAGCGGGGACTGTGAAGAAAGGCTTCACCTAGCGCTTCTGCGTCCGAGAACTCCAGAGAGCGACACCACAGGAGGAGTCGATTCTGGATAAGGGATTGATCTTTAGACAAACCCATTAGAAACACAACTCAGTCTGTGTTTGAGAAGGGTGACGTTTTATATTTACTGGCCTCCCTGTTGGACCTTTTATGCATGCTCACTCACGTGGGAAGACTCCCTGTATCTCCTCTTGTAAACGGAGCACTCGGTCATGAGCAGTTTGTCCTCCCAACTTCACGTATTTGATAATATTTATCTTTATTTGGTCTCTATCTTTTTCGTAGTATTTCTTAGTGACCAGGCTGCCATTTTGAGTCTTTTTTTTTTTTTTATTATTGCCAAAGATCTAAAAACCAAAGGTCCCTTCTTTGCAAATTTATTCTTCCTGCCCTGGCTGGCATGGCTCAGTTGGTTGGGCATTGCCCAGGAACCAAAAGGTTGCCGGCTCGATCCCAGGTTGGGGCGCGTGCAGGAGGCAGCCGGGTGGTGGGTCTCTCTCACAGCAATGTTTCCTTCTCTCTCTCTTCCCCTCTCTCGGATGAGAATAAAATAAACCTTAAAAAAAATTCATTCTTCCTCATAAAATTTGTTTACTCTTTTCTATCAGAATATGAAAATTAATTCACACGTTCTTATTTTATTTTCTTTATTTCACCATTTCCTTCCAAGGAAATTTAATTGAATTATCCTATCAGTTGTTACAGATTGTTTCACTCAAGTTAAAACCCGTGCCTCACGTCCTGGGCAGGATACTTTGGAGAATAAAATACCCAGTGAAGAGAAAATACTAAGGGTCACAAGAAATGATTCCTGGCCTGGTTTTAGAGGAAACTGTACAGACCATAACATTGCAGAGCAGCACCAGCCCCAGGAGAGGCATCTGAGGTGAGTGGCACAGTGGAATCGGTGCCTCAGCAGAGGGTTAGACCACCTTGGAGTTAAAGAAAAAGTATGAACCTAACTAAGCAGTAGCGTACTTGGGATTTTCATGTGACACTATTTTCATAAATGTGATGTAGATATTCAGTGTCTGAAACAGAGTCCAGATAGAAACGATGATGAGGAGCCCCCCCCCAGATGTAAGAAACAGTGAAAGTTGTGGCCCTGTTTTAGCTCAGCCAAAGCAGTAAGCTTGTTTCGTGATAGAACCATGTAGACAGTGCCAAAAATATACTCATGCATTAAAAATGGTAAGTATGTGGTTAAAACAATTATTAACACTTAATCATTAATGAAAAATCACTTAAAAAAACAAAAAACAAAGACACTTAAATAGAGAACAAGGGGATAGTGACCAGAGGGGAGAAGGAAGGGAAGTTAAGGGGGAAAAGGGGGAGGGATTTGGAGGAACAAATAGGAAGGACACAGGGACGAGAACTAAGGGGGGGTGGAAATGGGAGGGAGGTGGGGAGCAAGGGTGGGGGAGGCTGGGATGGGAAAAATAGACAAAAAACTGTACTTGAAAAATACCTAAATAAAATTTAAAAAAGAAAAAAAAATCACTTATGATCATTCATAATAGTGTGCTTCCTCTTTCGAACAGAAGTCATGTGCTGGAGGCTCCCTGTGAGAGGGGTGAAGCTCATCCATGCGGAGACACCCTGAACCCCGTCACAGATCTTCCTGTGGAGGAGGGACACCCACTCGGAGCTAAATCCCATGAATGTGCTAAGTGTGGAAAAGCCTGCTCGAGTCAGCCAAGGTCTCCCACTGGACATGAACCTCATCCCTGTGAGGAATGTGGACAAGCCTACATGTGTGTCTTGTGTGCAGGCCCTCACGTGGAACCAGAGCGTGTGGACAAACCCTGTCACTGTCGGGACACTGGGAGATACGTGAAGAGCCTCAGTAATACAAACTCCATCGAGTGTCAGAAATGTGGAAAAGCCTTCACTTGCCACTCCTCCTTTCGGGGACATTTGAGAGGTCACTGTGGACAGAAAATCCATGTATGCAAAGTATGTGGGAAAGCCTTTATGTATTACTTCTACCTTACAGGACATGCGAGAACTCACACTGGAGAGAAGCCCTATGAGTGCAAGGCATGCGGGAAGGGTTTCGGTAGTCTGAAATACTTTAGAAGACATGTGAGGACACACAGTGGAGTGAAACCCTATGTATGTAAGGAGTGTGGGAAAGTCTACAGGTATCTCACAAATCTGCAAGAACACGCAAGGACGCACAGTGGGGAGAGGCCCTATGTATGTCAGCACTGTGGGAAAGCCTTCAGTCGCCACTCCTCCCTGCGTGGGCACGTAAGAACGCACAGTGGAGTGAAGCCCTATGAGTGTCAGCAGTGTGGGAAGGCGTTCAGGTTTCCTGCAAACCTGCAAGTACACGTGAGGACACACACTGGGGAGAGGCCCTGCGAGTGTCAGCACTGCGGGAAAGCATTTAGGTATGCCGCCTCGCTGCGAGTACATGTGAGGACACACACTGGGGAGAGGCCCTATGAATGCCAGCAGTGTGGCAAAGCCTTCACCAGCCACTCTTACCTTCAGAAACACGTGCGAACACACAGTGGGGAGAAATCCTACAAATGTAAGGAGTGTGGGAAAGCTTTCAGGCAGCTGCAACATTTTCAAGGTCACATGAGACTACACAGTGGGGTGAAACCTTATGAATGTAAAGAGTGCGGGAAATCCTACAGTTTTCTCTCATCCCTTCGAATACACGTAAGAATGCATAGTGGGGAGAGACCCTTCAAGTGTCAGCAGTGTGGGAAAGCCTTCAGTCGTCTCTGCTCACTTCAAGGACATATGAGGTCACACACTGGGGTGAAACCCTATGAGTGTAAGGAGTGTGGGAAATGCTTCAGGTATCCTGATAACCTGCGAGTACATGTGAGGACACACACTGGGGAGAGACCTGATGAGTGTCAGCACTGTGGGAAAGCCTTCCGGTATCCCACATCCCTGCGCAAACATGTGAGAACACACAGTGAAAAGGATACGTGAATGTCGGCAATGTGAGAAAGCCTTCACAGGTGGCAAATACCTGCAAGCACGTGAGGACACATGATGGACAGAAACTCTGAACACGAGGACTGGGATACCTTTATTATTCCTGAAAATTGTGTTGTAAATGTGAGCAAACACACTGGAGAGAAACTGTATGGATGGAAAAAAATTCCGATGTAGCACTTCTCTCATTTTGTACATTAAAATTCAGAGCAGGCTGAAATCTTTTAATTATTATACGTATGGTATTGCCTTTGTAAATAGCTCATCCTTAATAGCAATTTCTAGTGTATTAATTTCTGGTTATGTTTCTGATATAAAAACTTGAGATAAGAAATATTTCTCTATGTTCCTTCATCTGCACTACACATTTTATTATCTTGGACTTTAATAATTGTATAGTTGTATAACACTTGTCTTGTTGCCATTATTATTACTTTTGGACTTAGGGGTATTTAGTTGGGTTTTTTTCATAATTTAGTGATTTTTATTGTGTAAAATTTACAGTTGGGGAAACTAAGGCTCAAAGAGCCAAAGTGACTTGCCCAATATCATACAACAGTTAAGAGTTGCTGGGGCTTCTCTCTCTTTTTTTGTAATGGCAAAACTTCATTTATATTTGTAAATTTGGAGTGGTAGACATACTACTTTTATATTTTATCTTTTTCAGTTATGATTTACATTCAATATTTTTTGTATTAGTTTCTGGTTTGACAGCATAGTGATTAGATTAAGTGGTTATTTTTATTTTCATGTGAAATGATAATAATTTTAGATGAAAAGTGTTTTGACTCTTTCCATTTTGTTCCCAGTATGTGATCATGACATGAGACCTGTATTGTTGCTTTTCTGGTTCGCTGCTGCAGACATCTACCCTTCACTTTAGTCCTTATCACAGAAATGTGTTGCTTTCACATTTGTTTGTTGCTAGTGGATACCACATCTATGTTTCTCACAGAAGTTAGTAATTATGGCAAGATCTCCTCTGATTATGTTCTTAATTTGATCTTTGCTTAATGTCCCTGATCTTATTTAGAAATTGGACACAATGCATTGAGTTACAAAGAGAGATCCAGTGTGAAAATGAAAGCTGGTGTCTAGATGATTCCATGTATTGTGTTGTCAGCAGGTAAGCTGGGAAGCTATATCCCATCATCCTTCTCCTTAGGTCACGAGAAGGGAAAGATGCATGAGGTTTGGAAATGAAGGTGCCATGACCCTCATATATTCTCTGCCATCAGCAGATAGAGATGTGGGAACCTAGTGGGCCCAAGACACAGCACATTCTCCTGTCTTCTGCCTCTGTCTGTCTAAGAACGGTCCCAACCAAACACAGGTTTGATGTTAGTTTTCTTTCAGGCAGCGGATTCCACAGACATTTCCAGGAGCTCTCCCATCATGGGCCCTCTTAGGTCTTCAGATTCACACAGATTCTTCCCGTAGCTCTTTGATGTACAACAGGCCACTTCTTCAGGCTATGGAGTGTAGCAGTCTTCTCTCATCTTGTCATTTCCTTTATCTTTAATGCCTCTCCTAATTATGTGATTTTTGTAGGAAGCATCTTGTTTCTCTACTGGTAGATCTTTTTCCTGCCTCCACCCTGACATATTTAACACTGGAGCCACAATACAGGAAACTTACCTCCCAGGTTGCATTGTTGAGAGGCTGCACTGACCTTGCGTTTCTTGTTTCTGAATACTTCGGTGGTGGAAATGTGCCTTTGTGACTACATTTGGCAGTTTGTGGAAGTTTTCTCTTTTAGCTGAATGCTCTCTAAATTATAAGCCCAGTATGTTTAATTATGCTCAATTTTTATATGTGATTACCAAATGTTTGATTCTCATTTAAAAAATATTTTATTTATTTATTTGTAGAGGTGGGGGAAGTGAGGGAGAAAGAGAGGAAGAGAAACATCAATACATGAGAGAAACATTGATTGGTTGCTGCTAGCACGTGTCCTGACCTGGGACCTGGCCTGCAAACCAGGTAAGTGACCTGACCAGGAATCAAACCAGTAACCTTTCTTTTTCTGGGAAGATTGTTCAGCCACTGAACCATCAGGGCTAATTCTCATTTTTTAAAAAAATATGTGATTCAAACTGCATTTTTTTCAAATGTAGTTTTCTACATTGTTTCTTAGCTATTATTTAGGTTTTCAAATCTGTTGTATACTGATGTTTTTATGTTTTATGTTTTTTTTAATTTTTTGAAATATATTTTATTGATTATGCCATTACAGTTGTTCTATTCCCCCTTCATTCCCCTCCACCCTGCACACCCCCTCCCCCACCATTCCCCCCTTTAGTTTATGACCACGTGTTTCAAGTTCTTTAGATTCTATATCTCCCCTACTATTCTTGCCCTCCCCCTTATCTATTTTCTACCTACCATCTATGCTACTTATTTTCTGTACCTTCTCCTCCTCCCACTCCCTTGTTGCTAACCCTCCATGTGATCTTCATTTCTATGGTTCTGCTCCTGATCTAGCTATCCTCTTAGTTTGCTTTTGTTTTAGGTGTGGTTCTTAATAACTGTGAGTTTGCTGTCCTTTCACTGTTCATCTTTTTTATCTTCTTTTTCTTAGATAAGTTCCTTTAACATTTCATATAATAAGGGCTTGGTGATGATGAACTCCTTGAATTTGACCTTATCTGAGAAGCACTTTATCTGCCCTTCCATTCTAAATGAAAGCTTTGCTGGGTAGAGCAATCTTGGATGTAGATCTTTGGATTTCATGACTTGGAATACTTCTTTGCAGCCCCTTCTTGCCTGTAAGGTCTCTTTTGAGAAATCCGCTGACAGTCTGATGGGAACTCCTTTGTAGGTAACTGTCCCCTTAGCTCTTGCTCCCTCTAGGGTTCTCTCCTTCATTTTAATCTTGGCTAATATAATGATGATGTGCCTTGGTGTGTTCCTTCTTGGGTCCAATTTCTTTGGGACTCTCTGAGCTTCCTGGATTTCCTGGAAGTCTATTGCCTTTGTCAGATTGGGGAAATTCTCCTTCATTATTTGTTCAAATAAGTTTTCCACTGGTGGCTGTTCCTTTCCCCCTTCTGGTACCCCTATAATTCGGATGTTGGAGCATTTAAAGATGTCCTGGAGGTTCCTAAGCCTCTCCTCATTTTTTCGAATTCTTGTTTCTACATTCTTTTCTGTTTGGTCATTTTTTTCCTCTTTCTGGTCCACTCCTTTGATTTGAGTTCCAGTTTCCTTTTCATTACTATTGGTTTCCTGTGCATTTCCATTCATTTCAATTAGTTTAGCCTTCATATGTTCCTTTAATATGTGACTAAAATCAACCAGTTCTGTGAGCATCCTGATCACTAGTGTTTCGAACTGTGCATCTGAAAGTTTGGCTATTTCTTGGTCGCTTAGATTTTTGGGCTCTGGGGCTCTGAATTGTTCTTGAGCCATGTTTTGATCTGTTCATGCCTGCTAGGTATGAGGAGCAAAGCCTTAGTTGTTCACCAGGGTGGGCCCCCCCGCCCCAGGTTGCTGGTTTGTGACCCTGTAGATGGGGGTGGGGTCAGAGAGGGACAATGGCGGTTCCCTCTGCCGCTTCCTGCCACTGGGCCCTGCACGGTCTATCTCACTGCTCCCTCCTTCACCGGTTTATCTGCACGCAAATGTGTGACCGTGGTCAGCCTTCAGTGAGTCCACCGCCCCACGCCTTCAGTGAGTCCACCACCTTGCACCCTCAGTGGGTCTGCCCGCTTCTCCACACCTGGGATCCACCCACGTCTGCTGGTGCACCTGAGTCGTGCACCAGGGTCGGTCCGGTGGATCTTTCCTGCCCGACCCTGCTCTGCAGCTGGCTCTTTCCCTCTTACCAGTTTGGCTGAAGGGTTCGTTGTTGTCAGACTTCTTTGAAGTTCAATTTTCTGTGGTTTTGGCTGTGTTTTTGTTGCTAAAACTTTGTTGTTTTTAAACTTGGTTGTGAGAGGAGGCGCAGTGCTTCCACCTACGCCTCCATCTTGGCGGAAGTCCTCTGTTTTATGTTTAATTATGAACTCATTCTAAGGAATAATTTATTGTTCCATTGTGACCATTTTTTCATACATATTCTGGGGTAGTAATACTAAATACATACACCTTTTGAAATTATTTTCTTGTTTCTCCTTCATTTTTATGCAGCTACCATCTTTGTAAATTAAAAATTACTTATTCTTGCTAACATTGAAAACCTAGCTATTGTCCTGTCAGTGGTCTCCAGCCAGGAGTCCTGCTCCTACAGCCCAACAGTGTGGGAGGGGAAGCGGAAGTGTGCATCTTCCCTGTTGTCCGTGGAGAACCTGAACTGTGTTCTAGGTGAAGTGAGCACTTTCGTTGTGGTGGAAATGAGTTATGCCAGAGCTTCAGCTTATAGGCCTAAGTGCCTTGAATAAACTCTATTTCTGGAAATGCTGCTTCTGTTTGTTTTCAGACAGCCCTTAGAGGATTAATGGAAGCATGTTCCTGTCTTGCATCTATCTTGTTGGTAGTAATTTTTCTGAATATCCACAGGATGATTCTTCCTGTGATGGATGACAGTTAATTGTTAATACTACTGCCCGGGAATGGTCCCTTGTATTATTTCCACTAATGAGAAAATGGGCCATGCTTTTCTCTTTCCATTTAGCTCACTTATGGTTCTATCGATCTGCCCCCAGAAGACAAAGCTTAGTTTCTGTCTCTGTGTCAGATGACCTCTGGTGGTACTTCTCTGGCCACATGCAGTCTGGAAGTACTGTCATGTTGTCATTTACCTGTCTGTGGCTGTATGTCTTGGATGGTGTGTAAGGTGGCTAGGCCATGAGGGACTTGAGAAAGGAAATGGTCAGCGAAGATACCTGTTCGGAGAAGAAGCTTGTACCTAATCAATTTCAACAACTATTAGAATGCATTTTACTCTCCAGTATCATCGATTCATCAATACTTCTCAAGGGGACATTGACCCAATAATAAGGCTTTCCATAGTTGCACCAACCTGTGACAGCATGGGACATGTGGATCAGATCCTCACAGTGGGGTTCCAACACCAGTTGACAGGACTCTGGGTGCTGACTTCAAACCCCAGAGGTGGGGGCGGGAACGGATGGCAGGACCTCCCTTAAAGTTATAGGTTAATGTCAAGTGGGACCCTGCCTTGCACAAGGTAATGCCATTTTGAGTCTTTGTTGTTAAACAAAGAGCAGGGGTTCATGGAATACAACCCCAGCTGACTGCTGACCCAGGAAATGAATAGGTGCTTTTGTACTCTCCTGTCCCAGCTCCGTACAAGGGATGCTCTGGGGAAACTGTGGACTCATCTGTCGAAGAGGAGGACAGGGAGTGATCCCCTCCCACAGCTGCAGTCCTCCATCAGGTCTGAGAAGTTAGGTGCAGGTCCTGCTGCAGCCAGCTTCCTGGGTTGGCAGGTTAGTATCTCATCTCCCAAAGGCCTGTCACTCAGGATATGGTCCCATGGGGAGGGATTCCAGGAGCACCCTCCAACCAGGGCCAGGGGCAGGAGTGCTTATAGCTCACCCGAACATTGCTCTCCCAGTAGCTGCAGCACTTGTGGGTACCTGCCCAGCATGATTCTAGAGTCCAGTTCCTATCTTTGCACCTGCAGGCCGGCAGAGAGCCAGCCCAGAGCAGGAAGCTCAGAGGCAAGATGGAGAGTGCATGTCTGTAAAAAGGCTAAAAATGGAACACATCCAAACCACAAAACTCACCACACTCCTGCTTCTGGCTATGTGACTGGTGCCTCCTTGCTAATTTTAGCTGCACATTGTTCTCTCTGCTTTTGTGATAAGAACAACTAAGATATCCAATCACAAAGTTATATTGACCTCCCAACAGCATCTAATCCAGGGTAAAGGATCACTTCCTAGAACACTCAAGTCATCTAACGTATGTCAAATGTGCTGTCACAAATGTTATGTCACCCTGACACATCGTACAGTCCTGCATGAGGTGTGTGTCCCTGGTGCTGTTAGCCAGTGTCCTGACTTACTGTCAACTACAGTGTGATCCTCATTGTCTTCGGGTAGATAACATTGACAAAGTCATTATTTTACTCTTATTATTTTAATAAGAATTTTAAATATATAAGAACAGACATTTAAAACTTGTAGGCACCTGGACCTGTTGACCAGGAATGCATTAAAATATAGATCGATTCTCTTAAATTGAGGAAATTTAGTGAGGCTAATTTGACAACCCATAAGTGCAAAGGGACATTTTAATACAGCCTCTCAGCCATTGAAAAGTAACATTTGTTAATATTCAACTGATTTGAAAACAGTTAATGGGATTTTTCTGAAACATGCTCATCACTGAGTAAAATGCATATCATTTTTAAGCACACATAAGTATAACAGCTGAACACATCCTGAGGGCTTGTGTTCAGTAACAAAAACTCCCACAGTCTGCGAGAGGGGGACAGGGTTTACTCCTCATGTGGAAGGGTGGACAGTGTGGCCACTCGATGCTGCTGCAGAGAAACCAAGTCCTACAGACTGTCGTCCACAGCATCATATCAGCCGAGACGGAGCCAGGATCCCAGACCCTATGAGACTGTCAACAGAGTGGGTGTTCACTACAGAAATGAGGCTTATATAAACATGGCAAGACCTAGAGAAGAGGAGGGTCAAAGCATCAGAGAGTCCACAACCATGACAGCCCAAATCCTGGCCTGGTGGGCACATTTGGGCTTGCCGGAAAACCCGAACCTCTATGTACTCAGGACTATAGACTCTGGTCCACAATGGGGAGCTCAGGGAGCTCACGTGTGGAAGCCAAGGCCTCCAAAAAAATTAAAAAGTTGGATTGGGTGCATGCTTGACTGCCCAGGCTGGTTATCAGGAAAGCAAGCTACGGGCTGGTGCCCAAGAAGCCTGATGCATCGTTCTGGTGGTCTGTATGGTGGGTCCAAACCCTGAGAGTAGCGGCTTCCTCCTCAGTACCTTCCCAACATCATGCAAGGGAGGCTGTTGCTGAATTCTAACCTAGGTGATAATGACGGGGACTCAGGGAAAGAGTGCTTCCAGCCTTACCCACAATGAATAACCATATCTACCTGTAGATCTCATTGACTTTCACAGTAGCACAGAAATACGCAGCACTTTGAAAGATGAGAAGGATATGGATATACAGATTTTATATATTTCATATATATATCTGGGTCCAAACAATAGTTAAGCAGAATAGTAAAATGATTATTTCAGATTACACTGAAAGCTGATACTGAAGTCAATTATGTAATATATAGAAGTACACATATATGTATATACTGGGTTCAGTGGTGTTCCCCCAAATTTCATATCTACTTGGAACATCAGAATATGACCTTATTTGGAAAAAAAGGCTTGCAGATGTAATCAAGATAAAGTCATACTGATTTAGACTCCATCTTAATCCAGTAATGGGTTTCCTTATAAAAGAGAAAATTTGGACCCAGAGAAGACAGACATGTTCACCCCATGTGAAGACATAAGCAGAGGTTCGTGCGCTCTGTCTACAAGCCCAGGAATGCAAAGGACTGTAGTGATGGCGGTGATGGAGAGAGACGCCTGGGTCAGATTCTCCCCCAACAGCCTCTAGCAGGAACCGATTCTGCCACCAGCTTGATTTCGAACTTCTGTGTTTCTAAATGGTGAGAAAATAAATTTCCATTGTTTCGGCCACCCAGTTGGTGGCACTTTGTCATGACACCCCAAGCAATCTAATCCATTTCCCAAGGATATTTGGGAAGGACAGCCAGAGGCCAGTGTGCCTGGAGCAGAGTGCAAGGGGAGCGAGGGCCACAGAGGTGGCAGGATGGCGCTGGGGCGGGTGGGGGAGCAGGTCAAGTTGTGAAGCAGTGGTGGCCATGGTAGACTGGCTTTGGTGGTGAGAGACATGGAGCCCGAACGCAACCTGGTGGGGCAGCTCCCCAAGACCCCTCAGTTACCTTGAGGATGGATGCTATTCTCGTGGATCTAATTTTAAGTTCAGAGCCATCAGAATTTCTTGATGGACTGGAGGTAGGGGGAGAGGAGGAGTCAAGGGTGACCCCATTCTTTTGTACAGGAACGAAGGGCCGGGCGGAGTTGCTGTCCACTGAGATGTAAGCCCCTGGAGCCACGCTGGGTGCAGCGTGTGGGTCCGGCCTGCAGTATGTGGAGTGGGGATGAGATTGGACAAACCGAAGCAGAAGATACAGGTGTAAGAATGTTACTGGATTTTACTACAATTTAAAAAAAACATTTAAAAAGAATTTTATTATTATTAGAAACATTATTCTAATAGCAGAACTGTAAAACTGCCAAAATAGGAGCCACCGTACATTGGCAGTTGAATCAATACACGAAAAAGGTAAAATCCTCCAAGGGTAAAAATAGATGAATAAACGTGAATAAAGGGCGAAGCTCTGGAAGACTAAACATTTCTGAACAAAAGACATTTGATATAAAATAGTACATTCTGTGTGATTCTATTTACATGCAATATAAAATGGAAAGTATTGCCTATACAGGTGACAAAAGTAAACAGAAACAAAAGGAAATTATCTTCTTTTAAAACAGATTTTATTTATCAATTTTTAGACAGAGGGGAAAGGAGGGAGAAAGAGGGAGAGAAACATCAATGTGTGGTTGCCTCTTGCATGTCCCCAGCTGGGGACCTGGCCCACAACCCAGGTACATGCCCTGACTGGGAATCCAACCAGTAACCTTTTGGTTTGCAGGCCAGAACTCAATCCACTGAGCCACACCACCCAGGGGAAAAGGAAATTATCTTGAATTAGTTTGGGATGTTGGTGACTTTGAGAGGGCAGGGTGGGGCTTCTGACAGGGCATCAGCCAGTGGGATGTGGGGTGGGGGTGGCCTTGCTGCCTTGTTTGGGTATGATGTCATGGATGTTTATTTTGTAATAGTTTTGTCCTATAGACGTCTTATGACCCTGGCCAGGTGGCTCAGTTGATGAGAGCATTGTCCTGTGCACCAAAAAAGTTGCAGGTTCAATCCCCAGACAGGGCACACACCTGTGTTGGGGGTTCGGCCTGCCTGGGGCACGTGTGGAAGGCAGCCAATCGGCGTTTCTTTCTCTTGTTGATGCTCCCTCCCCACCCCCTCTCTCCCCCTTCCTCACTCTCTGAAATCAATAAACATGTTTTTAGGTGAGGATTAAAGATAGAGTTTCATGCATTTTTCTGCATGTATATTTTACAGTAAAATGTTGTGGTACCATATTTTAAAAATCTATCTCTAATTATCTCAATAGATGGATAAAAATCATTTTATACTATTCAGTACTCATCGGTGACAAATTTATTGGTAATTTAGGGATTGATGAAAACATTCAAAATTTTCTGAAGGCCCTCTTTAAAAAAATGTTTATGGAAGAAGATAATATTGAAATAGAATATTCAATACTCTCTTGTTCAATAAAATTATGCACAAAACAATACACATCGCTCCAGTCCCCCTGCAGTCGTTGGTTGACTAGGTATGTGCGTCAGCGCCATGAGAAAGAGGTATCAGTTAGGAAAGGAAGAAGAAGGTGACTTGTTTCAGAGCCGAAACAGTTGTATGCATAGAACCCTATAGAACCTTGAAAGCATATAAGGGTAACCAGCAGGAAAAAAATGACTTAACAGGTTTTTAGGATATCAACTTAATATAAAAATTTTCCTTTTTAAAAAAAATATTTTATTTATTTATCTTTAGAGGGGAAGGGAAGGAGAGAGGGAGAGAAATATCAATATATGGTTGCCTCTTGTGCATCCCCTGTTGGGAACTGGCCTGCAACCCAGACATGTGTCCTGACTGGGAATCGAACAGCGATACTCTGGTTTGCAGGCCCGCCGCTCAATCCACTGAGCTACACCAGCCAGGACTAAAAATTTTTCTAATTAGTATGTATAGAAAGGAGTTGAACGATTTAAAACATAACATGTACAAAAGTAAAACTGAAATGATTCAAGTATCAAAATAAGTGTAATGAAACCTAATGTAAAAACCGTAAAATTATACTGAGTAACGTCCCCGCTGACTACAATACGCGTAGAGATGGGGCATATTGAAACAAAGGAGAGGGCGGTGGCAGCACAATGTCAATACTTAGCCAACAGATGCATCATTTTCATAAAATTCTTTTAATACTACTACCCAGTTTTCCTTAGAACTTCTGGATCCCCACTTCTAAATTTTACAAACAGAACAAATGTTCAGTAATAGCCATGCTTTTCTAAATAATGAGGTGAAGGGGCTTTTCTTCACCTGATCAAAATATTAATGACCCTGAGTAGCATGGCTCTGTCGCTTGGGCATCATCCCACAAAGCAAACGGTTGCCGGTTCTTTCAGTCCCCAGCCAGGGGCTGGTATTAAAGGTAATCAGTCTCTCACATCGATGTTTTTCTCCCTCTCTTCCCCTCTCTCTAGAAATAAATAAAATCTTAAAAAAATAACTTTTACATTGGTAACAAAACTATGAAAGTACAGAAGTATAATACAAGTACATTGGCATATTGGACCATTATAACTTAAAGTGGAAGCTTTGTTACCTTGAACATTATGGCTTTTCACATTAAAAAACTGTCTAGGGACATGTGTTTTATCAGGCTTCTTCCCAGTTCTGGGACTTGAAAGTGGCTCTGCTAGAATTCTCACCCCCACCAGCACCAGGCTGCCCTGGATAACCCAGCAATGAAGGAAACACAGCGTGAACTTCAGTTTGGTAAATGCTTCTTAAAGTTGGTCTTTATAAAAAAAGTTTTGTAAAGAGTAAAAAGACACCCACTATGAATGAACATATTTGTAAAACGCACAAGATTTATATGGTCTGAAGAGAAACCAGAGTATAAATGAACATATTTGTAAATCATGATAAGGTTTACTACCCAGAATACACAAAGAATCTTTACATCTCAATAGCAAAAATAAAACAACCCAATTAAAAAATGGGCAAAGGGTTGAAACAGACATCCTTCCAAGGTGAAATATCCATGAACAAGAAACACACAAAAATATCACTAACCATCAGGAAAATATGAATCAAAACTACAAGGAGGTACCACTTTACACCCAATAGGATGGCTACAGTCTGAACATCAGAAACAAGTGTTGTCCCAGATGTGGAGAATTTTGGAACCCTTGTCCATAGTTGGTGCGGACGTGAAATGGTGCTGCCACGGCGGAAAAGAGCTTGATGGCTCCTCATAGTTACACTTAGAGGTACCTATGATTCAAAGCTACCACTCCTCCCTGTACTGAAACAGATACTCAAACTTGTGTATGTGGATGTTCACTGTAGCACTATTCAAAAGTGTGCATGTTCCAAATGTCCATCAGTGGCTGAAGGAATAAATATATACATAGAATAAACATAGCATATGCATAGAATACAATGCTAATTGGCCACAAAAAGGAATAAAGCACTGACACTCGCTACAACATGAATGAACTTTGAAAGGCTGATGCTCAGTGAAAGAAGCCAGACACAACAGGCCACACGGTGTATGATTCCATAGAAGATATTCAGGCAACTCTAGAGACAGAAAGTATGTTAGTGGTGGCCAGAACACAGTGTTTACCTTGGCTATTAACGACTTTACGATTTTCTTAAAATTGGAGACTCAATTCACATACCATCACACGCATACTTTTGAGTGTAAAACTCAGTGGTTTTTGGTAGTCTCACAAAGCTGTGCAACGTCACTAAGCAATCTTAAGTAAATACAGCCTTTTACATTTCAAAATTCACAGGGACTGACTGGAAACCTGATTTGACATAAATTTCCTTTCAGTGCAAATGCACACCTGAATTCTAACATCGCACACCTTGTGCTTGTGTAATGGATGGCAAGCGGCGGGCTCCCCTTGCCATGGATGAAGGATCCCGGACCTCTTGTTGCTGACCTCAAGCCTTAATGTGGGGGTGGGAAGGAGGGCGGACCTGCTGATGTCAAAGGTCACACTTCAAATTCTTCATTCTTGAGCAAGGGTCTAATATCCACATTGCTCTTGTAGCCCCACAGGCTGACTGACCGCAGAGATCGCTTGTTGTGGGTCCGGAAAAGTGGTGCTCCGCTGGGAAATTGACTCAGGACTTCCTGGTCCAGCAAAAGGCCAAGAAAGTGCCGAGGAGGTTGGGCGGACAGTCGCTCGCCAGTTCAGGAGCACTCGCGACTCTTAAGTGACCTTCCGGATGGTCAGCTCTGGGGAGAACGGTGGCAGACACGTACCACGGTCAAAGACACGCACTTCCGCCTTCCTCAGCCACGTGACCCCTGCTTCCGCTCAGCAGTCACCCGTCTTCGCTCTCATCCGCAGTTGCGCTACAGTGCGTGTTCCACGCGTGACCTCAGGGGTCCCGTCACCGTCGCTCTCCCCTGCGGCGGTTGCGGAGCTGCTGGGCGTCGTTTCCCCGAGTAGCGTGGAGATGGTGAGTGCGCGGTGCGACTGGAGAGCGGCGGGAAGGGCTGGTTCTATTCGGCTGGAATGGGCCGTGAACGCGCATCGGGCCTCCCTCTCCCCGACTTCCAGACTGTAGTTTCGGCCCTCAGCCGAGGGGTGTGATCTTGGCCTCCTGTCCAAGGAGGTCCCCTGAAAGCGTCCTCTGGGTCCCGACCTCAGTGTCCGTCCTCAGCGGGGAGTCGTGTAGTGCTGGCGCCCTGCGAATGCCTCCAGGGGAAGTGTCTTAGGAACGTCCCCCTGCTGTTGTGGGGAAAATGCAGAAACTTTCACGCGTTAAAGTGAGAAGAGATGGATTGATGAAGTCATTAAAATAATAGTGATTCTTCCGTACGGAGGTGCAGAGTTGGCGACACTCTGCTTCATGTTAAAACCTAATAGTCGGAATTATGCACATTCTCCAAATACGTGACCTATAAAGGCCTGACATGTTCTATTCTGATTTACTTATTTGCAATTTATCATGAGTTTAATAGTGAACCGATGTTCTCTGAAAGAGAGAAGCAGTTTCCAATTATTTAAAAAAATAAAAGGTGCCTTAGAATGTTTTCCCTTGCTGTATCCTGCATCACTGGTGAGAATTTATGAAGGGAACAGATTCGTGGTGATCATGCCACCTGGCCCACCCCTTCCCTGTCTCGTTCTGGACTAGGTGCCATCTGAGGGAGAAGTGAGTTAGAACTTCTCAAATCCGGAGAAGCTACTGTCCTGTGGGTTGATGCGGAGTCACCAGCACCCTGAGTGGGTTTTTTTCTGCACTTTTCTAACATCCGCCTGTGCGGTCTCTAAAGCTGTTGCAGGGAAGAGGTGACGCGCTGAATCAGCGTTCCTGCGGAATCAGAAATTCCTGCGGGATTTCTCCACGTGACCTCTGTCTCTGCGCGTCCTTGGCCCCCAGGGACCATAACTGTCCAATCAGAGGAGACGGTGTGGGGCCGGAATGTAATCGTGTTACTGGGCGGGGCTAGGGAACTCTGGAGGATCCCGCCTTCTGTCAAACCAGGGTCTTATGTGTGCCTCAGATCTAGCCAATTAGAGTTCATGGTCCAGTCAGAACGCGGGACCTTTGAGTGCCACTCAATCAGGCTCGGAGACGGTGCTTTCGCAGCCCACGTGATCGTTGTTTTGGGGACCCCTAGCGCTTGTTCGGTCGTGGCCCCACTTGTCTGGCTCATCCTGTCCGCAGCCCTGGAGAATTAGATGCCGGAAGGACCCAGGAATGTACACCGGAGCCTCCGGATGGTGAATGCTTGGGGTCCACCTTGAGACCTGGAGGGGCTGGTTCCACTGGCCGGAACCGACTGGAAATGACTGTGGGTCTGACATCCCACATCCCTCTCCTCCGTCTTCCCCCACCCCGGGAAATCCAGACCCGAATCTCTTTCCTCCGCAGGGAGTGGGTTCCCGGTGTCCTATTACTTCCCTGGGAAATCCAGACCCGAATCCCATTCCTTGCCTATAACATTTCTAGAGAGCCAAAGCAGCCCCACCTAGGGTCTCTCCTGTCACTGGTTTTATCCTAAGTCCTTGTTTCACTGTCCCCACCTTTAAAAATGTACTCTCAAAATCACCTGGGCTCATGTTGTGAAATCTTTCCTGCGTACTGCCCTGGCCTGGTGGGTCAGTGGCTTGGAGTGTAGTCCTGATACATCAAGGTTGCAGGTTCAATCGCCAGTCAGGGCACACATAAGAATCAACCAGTGAGTGCATAAATGGGTGGAACAGGTTGATGTTTCTCTCTCTCCCTTCCTATTGCTCTAAAATCAATCAATAAATAAAAATTAAAAAAGACACCACACACTATATTCTGGCCTGGGACAGACATGCTCTGGGCTCGGTTTTTTTCTGGGAACTGTGGGATGGGACTGTCCTCCACATACTGAGTGAACTCCCAGCTCGGGTCAGCAGGGGCTTGTTCTGCAACTTAATGCTTGTTCTGAGGGCGCCAGCTGGAACACGTGGAGGAAGGGGTCCAAACTCAAGGTGCTGTGGGGAGGACAGAAGGCTGGCTAAATCTTGGATTTAAAAAATGGGAATTTGTGATTACTCAGACAAGGCTGTGAAATAGGAAACATCCAAGCTCTGGAAGGAGAGACTTTCATTTAAAAGAGTCCTTGAAAGGATGGGGAGGAGGGGCCATTGCACGCAGGACAGGAGCTGTGCAGCACGGAGGATGCTGTCATCACAGGGTCTCCAAGTACCGAAAAAGGAGTTGTTTTGCTTTTACAGAGAGGAGTCCGCAAAGCTAGGATGTACCATGTGAGGTGGGGATGGCAGGTCCCCAGGTTAGTGTCCCCAGGTTGGTAAGGGGTGTCCCCTGGCTGGATGAAGGTGGGTCAAAGTTCAGCTGTCTGGCAGGATTGGGGAGGCTGAACCAAGTCTGGCCAACAATCATTTGCTATGCTTGGTCAGTGGCAATGAGCAGTTCACCTGGTCAATGATGAGACACAGAACCGGGATTTTGTGGGGTCTGGGTCCAGCCTTATCATGAGTAAAAAGGGGGGAGGGTTCCTGTAGTGTGCCTTTCTCCAGAACAAACGTATGGAGAGTTCCTTTCACCTGCAGCAATGTTTCTAGGAGCACAGGGCTCAAGGAGGGTACGGGATTGTTATCGGACACCGTGAGCATCCCAGCCCCTTCTGTGCCCAGCTCAGCACGGAGCTTTCCCTTTTTCCAGCCTCAGTTTTCAGCAGATGTGGTCAATTCTGATTGTTCTCTGAAACATGATGATAATAATAAACCAACACTTGTTTTCTGAAAGAGATGCTCAGTTTCCAGTTACTTGAATCCGTAATAGTGACCTAGCGTTTCCCTCCCTAGTTTAACCTGGAACACAGGTGGAGGCAGTGATTGTGTGGGGTCTCATTCACACTCTGGGACAGGGGTCCTTCTCTCATTCAAATGACCACGGAGCTTGAATCGGGTGTTTCACCTGGGTGGGAACAAGCTGCTCCCAAAGCTGGTCCTGTGGAGGAGATGAGGGAAAGTGCAGCGGGCCCCTGCTGGGTGCCTCCCGCTAGAAGTGGCATCCAGCTCCCAGAACCACCCGAAAGGAGCAGTTGGTGCCCAGAGAAGCCACGGAACCTGGGGAGACCCCCCCCTGCACGTGGGCTGGAGCGGTTTGCCCTGAGGTGTACTGTGGATGCCCTGGGGCTATATGTAAAATGTTGGCTTGAATCTCGCGATGAGATGAACAATGAGGCAAACAGCCGTGCACTCACTGCTTAGGTGAGGAGCCAGGCCCTGGGCAGCTGCTGGCACCCCCAGCCTCTGCGTGCTGCTGCTGTGTCTCATCTTGCTCCGGCTGCCAGGGTGACTGCCCTCCTGAGTCAGTGTCATTCTTTATACCTTTACCAGTTCTTATTCATCGCCAAGTAGTGTGTTGTTTGATTTTTGCCCCTTAGATTTCCAATTAGTGAATGTTAAAATTAGTTCACTGTCACTGTCACACAGAGGCTTCTCTGTGATGCCTAGCCCTCGTCTGTTTAACATGCCCTTGTGTCAGGCTTGGTCCCCAGTTTTCTCATCCATTCCACTGCAGTCGGAGTTTTTCTAAGGGCATTTTTGGCTAGTCAGCAAATTTACCGCAGGCATTCTGGGTGTCATCTCCAAATGGACATTGCAACTGCAGTTTCTACGTTTCGGAGACAAATCGTGGGGTCATACTTATGGATAAGTTTAAATTTCCCAGGAAGTGATGGCGGAGCGTATGAATTGACAACCCCCCATCCCCGCCATACCTTTTGTTCTTGTGTCCACAACTTATGTTACCTAAGTTCATTTTTGTTTATCAAAAATGTATGACCCAGCATCTCCTGGTGACATGTGTTTCTTACCGATCACCATTGAGGCTGAGCATGTAGTGTTTCACCTTCTGTGAAACTGTTTTCAGTCATTTGGTCACATTTTATTATTTTCTATGTCTGATGTTTTCTAGACACTCTGGGCAGGAATCCCCTGTCGTGTGCGGATACTGTACACATTTTGAAAAGCGTGGTTTATCTTTCAACTGTCTTTATTCTGTCCTGGTGAATGAACTCTTTTTTAAAAAATATTTCTTTATCTTTTTTAGAGAGGGGGAGAGGGAGGGAAGGAGGGAGAAAGAGAGGGAAAGAAACAATGATGTGAGAAACATCAGTTGGTTGCCTCTCATATGCCTCAGCTGGTGACCGAACCTACAACCCAGGCATGAGCCCTGACCCGGCATCAATCGGAGACATTTCCCTTTGGGGGACAACGCCCAACCAACCGAGCCACTCCGGTCAGGGCTGGTGAACGAACTCTTAATGTTACTAGAATTGAATTTCTTCTTTTCAGACTTTCTTTTATAGTCTCAAGTTCTATTGTTTTTGAAGAAAATCGCCATTAATTTAGGAAGAATATATTTTTAGCTTGTCAAACCTATTTTTTCAACAGCATTGGTTGAGATAGAATTTAAATACCATAAAGTTTACCTGTTTGACATAAGTGTTTCTCGTTCATTTACAGAATGGTACCGCTATCCCCATATTCTCATTTGAAACATTTTTATTGCCCTAAAAAGAAACCATGTGTCTACTGGTCGTCACTCGGCATCCAGTCTGTCCCCCGCCCAGCGATGCTCCATCTATTTTCTGTCTCTGTAGGTTGGCTCCTGTACGTGATACTACACTATCTGTGGTCTTTGTGACGTCTGTCTGGTAATAATGTATTTAGGGGTCCTTGATTTTGTGCCATGAATCAGAACTTCATTCCTCTTATTGCCAAACATATTCCATTGCATGAATAGTCCCACATTTCGCTTATCCTAGTCACCTGACAGACTGTGGCATTCTTTCCAGTTTTTGGCTAT